AGAGCCTGGAGCCTGCTTCAGATTCGGTCTCTCCCTCTTCCACTACCCTTCCCCCCTTGTGCTCTCTCTCTCTCTCTTTCTCTCTCTCTCTCAAAGATAATCATTAACAAATCAGGAGACTATAGATGTTGGTGAGGATGTGGAGAAACGGGAACCCTCTTGCACTGTTGGTGGGAATGCAACCTGGTGCAGCCACTTTGGAAAACAGTGTGGAGGTTCCTCAAAAAATTAAAAATAGATCTACCCTATGACCCGCCAATAGCACTGCTAGGAATTTACCCAAGGGATACAGGAGTGCTGGTGCATAGGGGCACTTGTACCCCAATGTTTATAGCAGCACTTTCAACAATGGCCAAAGTATGGAAAGAGCCTAAATGTCCATCAACTGATGAATGGATAAAGAAATTGTGGTTTATATACACAATGGAATACTATGTGGCAATGAGAAAGAATGAAGTATGGCCTTTTGTTGCAACGTGGATAGAACTGGAAAGTGTTATGTAAGTGAAATAAGCCATACAGAGAAAGACAGATACAATATGTTTCCACTCTTACGTGGGTCCTGAGAAACTTAACAGAAGACCATGGGGGAGGGGAAGGAAAAAAAAAAGTTGGAGAGGGAGGGAGCCAAACCATAAGAGACTCTTAAACACTGAGAACAAACTGAGGGTTGATGGGAGGTAGAAGGGAGGGGAAAGTGGACGATGGGCATTGAGGAGGGCACCTGTTGGGATGAGCACTGGGTGTTGTATGGAAACCAATTTGACAATAAATTTCATATTAAAAAAATAAAAAGAAATAAAGAGAAGAAAAGAAAATTAAAAGACAGTAACTATTGTCATTATAATCATTATGATCTAGAATTGCCCTGTCCAATATGGTAGCCACTAGCAACAGGTGGTTATATCAATTTAATTAGAATCCTAATTAAAAACACAGTCCCTCCATCTCTGAAGCCACACGTGACTGATGGCAACCATGTTGGACAGCAAAGATAAGGAGCATTTCTATCATCATGAAAAGTTTCACTGGACAGTGCTGTTCTGGAGACCAGAATCCTGGATGCCCTTACTGAAATGTTCCCAACCTAGGGTTGGCGAACACCAAAGAAAGGTCCAGAAACTCTTGGCATTCAACAGCGGGTCCTAAGACCTCAGTTTGCTAAGAAATTTCTAACAGGAATTGCAATGTGTTTTTATAACGTGCCCTGAGTTCTTCACCCAGGGTGACAGACCACAGAGGCAATAAAACACTTTCATAAAACAGACCTCAGGGCCACTCACCGGCGTGCTAGTCTGGGGTCCGGAAGCATCCTGGCCTATTTGCTCGGATAAGCCCAAGGCTTGCAGGGATGCCTGTGCGGAGGTGTCCCCTGGTTCTCCGGATTCTGACGGACTGGGGGCTCCTCTGTCTTCGGGAACAGCTTCCCCGCCCACATGTTCGTACAGGTATGTGGGGCCCGCTTCCTCTCTGGGCATCTCCGCAGGACTTTTGTATAAAGAAGCCAGATCCGTAGAACTGACTTTCCCTTCGGGTGATGTGCCTTCCATATCGGATTCGAACTCTCCTTCAGATTCAAATTCCTCTTCTGTCTCCACTTCTTCAACACTTTCGACTTCTCCCTCAATCTCGGTTTCTCCTTCAGTTGTGACTTTCTCATCGTCTTCAGAAAGCTTTGCGGCATCGACAGCCTCGTCATTGTTCTGGTCACTGCTCCTCTCTGTTGGTGGGATCTATAGATGCGTGGCAGGGGAAAAAAAAATCAGGAAACACAGTATAAGGCGCCCTGTGAAGTTTTACTCTTCATTGTGTAATTATGCGGACGGGAAAATCGCATCTGTACACATCTGAGTGTCACTGAGAGAATACGCTCCACGCTTTATCTGTTCCCTCCAGTGTTTGTGATTTTTGCGTCCTTTGCTATAGAAACCGAATTCCGAAAACCTCAGGGTGATCTGAGTAGGAGACGGGGGTGGGGGGCATCCTGACTAGCCACCAACACTCAAGAATGGGAAGGAAGGACTTCTTGAACAGCTCTTAACTCTTTAATTCCGTGCCTACAAGCCCAGCACACACAGCCCACCCCACAGGGAACCTTACCCTGTCGTCTTCAACACTCTGATCCCCGCCTTCATTATTCTGGCCCTTCTCTCCTTCAGCAGTTGATTCGCACTCAGACCTGGGTGCAGATATACAGTCTAAGTTTCCAATAACAGCGTTCTTTTTCTTAGCATCTATGACCTCCCAGTGTCTGTATATATTCTTATTTACTTGTTCATTATCTGCCTTCCCTCTAGGCTGTTGGCCGTGACTTTGTTATGTTCGTCACCAACCCCAGCACTAGATCATACCTGTTACATGGAGGGAGGGAGTGCCACAAAAGAGTCGCTGTACGAATGAATGAAAAATAATTACGGAAACATCAAAGGAACAGCGTAAGTAGATTACAACAGAAAAGTCACCCTGAATATATATATATATATATATATATATATATATATATGTATGTGTGTGTGTGTGTGTGTGTGTGTGTGTGTCTGGGACAAAACTGGGGAAAAGAAATACAAAATAAAAGAATGTTGCACAGAAGGGACAAATTCAGAGACCTTACTTATTCTCATGATTTGGTCATAGTACAAAGAATGCTCATGACTTACATTACTTTTTTTTTTTTGAATTATTTATTTGGGGGGAAAGCACAAGTAGGGGCAGAGAGGGAGGACAGGAGAGATCTGAACTTCAGCAGGCTCTCAAACCGTACGTAGTTGGAGACTCTGATGTGGGCTAAACCCACAAAACCAAGGGATCCAGCTGAGGCAGTCAGATGCTCAACTCATCGAGACCACCCAGGTGCCTTCTATCATTTACATTCTGTAATATGTCTTCTAATAGAAAAATACAACTTATTTTAAAAAAAAGTCAGACATCTAAAAGTGTGTGAATCACAGTGAAAATGCTCTATGACTCTCCTCCCTTCTCAAGAGAACCACTAGTAATAGAAGAGATTTAGGGGTATATTCTTTCAAATACTTTTCTAATACATTTAATGCATGTATGACATATGTATACACACCCACCTATAAACACACACATGAGAGATCCTCTACATACCTGTTTTCCATTTAGTCTTTTCATTTTCATGAATTCTTTCCATATCAGTACATATAGATCGACTTTTTTTTTTTTAATGAAACACTACAGAAGCATCAAAGTAAAAGGTCAAATTCTTTACAAATAGTTTCTGTCCTTTAAATAAAGCTCGAGAGCACAGAGGCTGGTGGCAGGTTCTTTATGTGGCTACTGTCTGCCTGTGTGCGAGGAGGACGGTCACCCAGGGGCTCCCAGGCCACAGGGACCCTGATCCCTTCCCCTCCCGCCCCCCCGCCCCCACCCCCCCACCCCGGCCTGAGGGGGAGGGGATCCTGCCTCAGGACCGGAGGGGCAGGGCAGCCCAAGCCCTGAGACCCCACTCTCAGGCCTCTCAGCAGGCACAGCCAAACATAGTGTTGCCATGGTTACTGCGGGGGCTATGCCATATAAGTACAGTTCAGGGAGCCAGAGCGGCCGGAGCAGGGGACATGACAAAGGGACTGGGGCAGGAAGAGCGCGGAGGCAGGGTGGCAGGGGTTGGGGAAAGGCAGGAAAGCCAACGGAGCCCCGAGGGATGGGAGAGGCACAGGTGCAGGAAGAGGGCGTGAGGGAAGGACGCCCGGGGGGGGGGCTACGCCAAGGGGGAGCTGGGGCGCTGCTGAGACCCGCGACCCTCGCCCCCGCTTACCCGCCGGCCGGGCCGCCCGGCTCTTCGCCATCTCCGTTGCTGAGCGACGCCGATCAGCATCCGGCAGGCAGGGGACCACGCGCGGGGCGGCTGGCGCTGGCTGCTGACGGCGCAGCCTTTGTGCCACCAGAAGCGCGCTAAGGGCGCACAGCACCGAAACCGTCTGCACTCACACACACATGGTTTGTCATCTCGTCCGGGCATCTGTCCCGCCCGGCTCAGGGTTCTGTGTAACGACCATGCGTGATCTGCAGACGTCCAGCCAGGCAACTCCGCTGCCCCGGGCACCGGCCTGACCATAAGCGCCCCGAAAGTGGCAGGCGGGTGGGGGCTCGAGGGGCTCCGAACAGGCTTCTCCGTGGTGGGGGGGGGGCCGGGACCCCCAGCCTAGTGTCCACCCATCATCCCATAACTGGGGAAGTCAGCGTCCTCGCAGAGGTGCCACCGAGGCTCTAAACGGAGACAGAGGCTCAGTGGCACTTTGGTGAGTGATGATCCCTTCCTACCCAAAACAGAGGAAAACTGTAAACGGAGAGGGGCGAGAGAGCGCGCGTGGGAGCATCCCGGTCCTGCCTTCCTCCGCGTGGCTCGGAGCTGCACTGTCAGAGGCAGTCCCCGGGACCGGGAATTAGACAGAGAGAGCCTGGCACCCAGAGACTTGAGTCTCGGGGCAGCGACGGGGAAGAAGAGAGGGCCAGGTCAGACCAAGGAGTTGCAGGGGGGGGGGGAGGAGGAGGGGGGTGGGGATCGACCGGGAGCCGGGTTGGAGCCCAGGAGGAGTGAGACCTACCAGTTGAGCCGGGAGTCGGTGGGGAGAGCAGGTGAGGTCCGGGTTGGGGTCTGAGTCAGGCCAGGTTGAGCCAGGCAGGTCCAGAGTTCAGTTTGGGGTCGT